GAGTTTAAGAATGTTAAACAAGTTAAGTTGATGTTAAATTGTTATTTACCTCTCTGTCTACGTATAAAATCCATTATTTTATGTTCTCCTTCACCTGGTACATTTGCGTCACTCAAAATTACTTTTATATTTCTCCAACCAGGATCAGTGTTTAAACGGTCATGTATGTAGTAATGCAAACACTTTGACAATCGTGCCATAAATGGTGTGCCCTGCGAATACGTAATCAAATTACGTCAAAAAATCGTTCCCAATTTAATATTAAAGAAATATATTTAATATATCTGATATTAAAAAAATGTTACGAACAGGGGTGATACAGTTGCTGTCAAAATGGTCTTCTTTCGGTTTCTCTGGAGGCAAAGAGGCGCCTTTAAGCACTAATTCAGAACGTATTCTCTTTATTTCATTAATCTTCTCATTTGTTTCTTTCGAAGCTCTGAACCTTCTTGATCTTTGCTGGTTCATTTTTGCTCTGGGTGCCTACAGATACATTAACACGCATGTAACAGTCTAGCTCAAATTCTGCAACAGTTTCATGCAAATACTTACAACTCCATCAATTGCCATATAAAGTAATTTCCTTGGTCTTACAATACGAAATAGACGGTCGATGCACTCGAAAATGGCCTCCATCATTTCTTCCTCATTTTTTGGTGCCGGTCTATGTAAATCATTAATCATTATATAGTGTTCATTTCATCACTTTTTAGATTAATAACTATTGTACCAAAGATATTTACTTATCTTCCGGATGGGTGCAAGGATGTATGATGCCGTTCATATCAAGATACAAATTGTCAAATTCTATTCCATTTGGATTGGGATCCGCAGAATTTACTGGCACTCGTACACCATTCGTAGTTATCGGCTACAAAGATACAATGAAAATACAATTATCCTGTGTATTAAGCGGGAAGTGCTCATCCAAATAAATAACCTAACCTACCTTTTGCTCGATACATTCCACTATTACGGAAGGATACTTCCGACTCAACCACCGAAAAAATGCTGGTACTCCCATCTTAATCAATCAATCGATCGATCGATCGATCCACGTCTTCTCTAAATCTTCCTTTCTCAAAAATTTGTTTATAAATGGAATAAGCACAACTGTTTTCACCGTGCACTCATATTTTAACCTATATTATGGATTTATAGACAACCTAAACTCTATCAGCAAATAGTATGTAGAGTCACAACTGTAGGATGCTGCCATCTATGTTAGCATATATAAATGTCATAAAATTGATAACTTTGAATTGTAAATAATAGTAAGGAAATAACATCGGGAATAAAGAAATTGGGTTTGTACAGCATTTCAAATAAATATATATTAACATCATATTTACGGATACGAATTACTCGAAACTATTATTTCATTAGAATTCAGTAATTATTTCACTTCACCACTCCCTATCTTTCAAGATCACTTATGTACCGGTAACAAGTATGAAAGATAAGCATGTATAGTCTTGAGTATATGAATTTAATAAAGCGTTATTGAATATTCCTATTTCTTATATTTCCTGTTGGAGGTACATTTGATTTAAATAAATGTAATCGCATTATCAGAAAAGAAAGGAAAAAATTGCAAATATAATCAGAAAATGTAGTTTTTATTTGCATAAAACAGATAAATTTTAATTATTAGATAAATTATTATAGATAAATTTTAATTATTATTTTAGATAAATTTTAATTATTCTATAGCCTGATTATTTAAACAAAACATTGCTTGCATGACTCAGTACTTCGTTAAATAAAGAGCAGTTACTTCTTCCAGTAAATTTGAAAATATACAAAAAACTTTTCAACATGCAAGACAAGAATATTTTACATGGACCATCATTGCCTGATTTGGAATTCAAAAATGTAACATTAGGACAGCTAATATTAAATCAATTAAGTATTCGTGGCTCTTGGGTAGCACAGGTAAATAAAATAAATCATTCATTTTACAGAAAAGTCTGTTTAATATATCTGCTTCATATTAGCTAATAACACGACTTTTTTCAGATTAATGCTTATACAGGAAAATCGAAAACATTTAAAGAAATTCTAGACTTTAGTCGACAATTGGCAATTGCCTTTAGTAAAGAAGGGTTAAAAAAAGATGATCGAATAGCTATATGTAGCGAAAACAATCTAGAATATTGTCCAGTAGTATGCGCTGCATTTTATTTGGGTGTCACTGTCTGCCCATTGAACCCACTTTATACGGAAAGAGAATTAAAACATGCATTGCATATATCAAAACCAAAATATATCTTTGTGTCAGAATTCGGAGCGAAAAATATATACAAAGTTATTCCTCAACTATTCTGGTTACCAAAGCTCATAATGTTAACAGAATCTGTGAATAATAAATTACCAAGTATTAATAGCCTAACGTCAGACATAATCATTGATAATAATTTCCATGGCTGTTCTGTGGATATCAATGATCATGTGGCAGTCATTCCATGCTCCAGTGGCACTACAGGACTGCCAAAAGGTGTAATGTTGACAGATAAAAACTTTTTGTCTGTGATAAAAAATCTTGCAATTGCATCACCTAGTATTTCAAATAGTAATATAACAGGCTTAGCTTTACTGCCATTTTTCCATGTGTATTCTTTTTCTGTAATGCTAGCAGCGCTCGTTTTTGGAAATAAAAATGTAATTCTTCCACGTTTTGAAGAAGAAATGTTTTTACGTACTATAGAAAAGTATAAAATTGAGCATATAACTATTGTACCACCACTCATGGTGTTTCTAGCAAAACATCCTACCGTAAATAAATATAATTTATCTAGTATTAAAGAGATTTGGTAAGTCGAATAATTTAGCATATTCCATGAAAAAATTGTGTTTCATTTTAGTAGAGATGAAGGATTCATTCTATTCTATTTAATTAGGTGTGGTGCTGCACCTTTATCTGAAGAAATTGCAAAGATGGTTGTAAACAGATTAAATAAGCCAATAATAAAGCAAGGATATGGATTAACAGAAACTACGTTGGCTGTAGTAGAGATGCCTGATGATAATACAAAATATAAAAGCGTAGGAATGTTAGTTCCAGGAGTATCAGGTAAAACACTAAAGAGTAATATTTTATAAACTTATCTTTAATACCATTTTTTATATGATATTTTAGCAAAAGTAATACCAATCAATGGAAATGAATCAAGCAAACCGCTAGGACCAAACAGTGTAGGAGAATTATGTTTTAAAGGGGATATAATAATGAAAGGATATTGCGATAATGAACAAGCTACAGCGGCAACAATCGATAAGGATGGTTGGTTGCATTCAGGAGATGTAGGATATTACGATGAACAAGGCTATTTCTATATAGTAGATCGTGTGAAAGAACTTATTAAATACAAGGGATTTCAAGTCCCACCAGCTGAATTAGAAGCTATATTATTAACCTGCTCTGAAATTAAAGATGCAGCGGTTATTGGACTACCGCATGAAGAAGCAGGAGAGCTGCCAGTTGCTTTTGTTGTTAAGCAAGAAGGATCTAATATAACGGCAGAAGATGTTATTAAATTCGTAAATGGTAAATTCTTTAATTAATTCAGTAATTATTTAATTAACTTCTATACATCAAATTATAATAATTAATAAATGATATTTCAGAACGCGTATCAAGGCATAAACAACTTCGAGGTGGTGTTAAATTCGTTGAAAATATTCCACGGACCGCATCGGGAAAAATTCTACGCCGTGTATTACGCGATACGCTTAAATCAAAATTATGAAAAATTAACAAGAAAGATGTAATATTATTTCGAATCTATCTTTCTTTTATATTTACATTCATTCTAAAGAAAATTATAAGCATAAATATTTTATGAAACAGCATTCGTGAACTTTTATCAGAACATATTTTTTATAAACATATTTTTAATTAACTTCTTAGCAAATTATGAAAAATTGGAAATGCAAAAGAAAAGCTTGAAAATTTTCTCTAGTATTCTAGTCATACTATTGATATATTTGCTATCATATTTAAATATATGTGAAAACACTTTCTATAAAGTTATATACATTATTCGTCTAATTTTTGCTTTACTTCGTATGGTATGTGACTTAAATACCATTGATGAATTTGACCAGGAGCAGTAGCTAATACACCTTTTTCATTCGGATATGTTGTTTCTGCATTATAAGAATACTGCTCTCCATAAAAATCAGTTAATGTGCCACCAACTGCGCAAAGAACAGCCTCAGGAGCACAAGTATCCCATCTTTTGCAACCTTTGCTGGCAAATACATAAGCATGAGCTTTCCCTTCCAATAAAAGTATTACCTATCAAAGACAGTAATATTAAAGTCATTTATAAAATAATTAGATCACAAAAGCTCTTAATTATATTGATTGTACCTTATATCCTGCACCACCAACTCGTATTACTTCATCAGGAGATAAAGCATTTATAGCTGCTTGAACATTGCTATCGGAATGTGAACTAAAACAATATAATACGTCTTTGATTTTCTATTCAAAATAATAGTAATTTTTAACTATTTTAAAATTCAATTATACCATGTAGTTGTAATTATTCTTTTTTCATCTAATGGAGGAGTTGGTGTAAATCCACCAAACCCTACGCCATTAATACCCCAAAGAGTACGTCCCAGTGTTTCATTCTCTATATTTTTGTAATATGGCTGATGAATTACACCTCCAATTGCTCTATGTCCAATTGCCACTCCTACCAATACTGTAACATGTTCTACAAGACCTTTTGCATACTCTGATGTTCCTAAAAATATTGATACAAATTACTATATTTAACAAGCAAACTATGTTTGTGTAATTAATATAATTCACATAAATAGCATAATTAAAATAAATAATATATAAAATATACCGTCTAATGGGTCTACCCAAATGCACACATCTTTAGGATCAATATCTTTCAGGTGAGTTGGTAACTTTAATTGTAACACTTCTTGATCTGCATCTGTCACAATCCAATCAGATGGTACTTCACAGTTTGATGATCCTTCTTCACCAATAATGGTAACGTTTGGAAATTGTTGGCTTAATGAAGCAATAATACACCTTTGAGCACAACGATCAGCTTCAGTTTGTAAATCATTCTTGCCTTTCTCTATTATATTTAGATTTCCATGAGCCATAACATCTCTTATAATTTTACCTGCTCTTACTGTAGCAGTTATAGAAGAGGCCACTATTCGAGATAATAAACAAGCACTTTGTGCCATTTTACAATTGTTCTTCTTAATATTAATAAGTAATCACTCTGCTCTTCTTAATAAGAAATAATGAATCTTTTACTGGCAATGCTTCAAATATGTTCTGTACATAATTGTATAAAAAACCTGGATTGCAAACTGCAAAAAAAATTATTACAAAAAACTTAGAAAATAGTGTTATTTCTCAAGGTTATATTGCACAATATTAAGTCCAAAGATACATACTAATACATATATTAAGTCCAAAGATACATACTAATTTTGTGACATAGCATTACCAGTAAATTGAATAAAATTCTTTATACGTTATATTTTTACATAATGGAAGATGTACAACTTATAATATATGAAATCATATAATCAAGAAATTTTTTTTATTCATGTACAAATATTGCAACATTTTGTCAAATTATAATTTTTATCAAAAATTGTTATGTATATGTTTATAAAAGTGATCAAATAAAGATTTTAAGATCAAATATTTCAAATAAAAAGGGGAATTTAATTACACTGTAATACTAGAATCACTTATTAAATTTCTTTTGTTCCATGGATAAATCTATTGGTAAATTAATGCTAATTAATATAATTATTAATAACATCATTTTAAATTATACAAAAAAAAAGTATAAATGATGAAAAATAATTTATTTCTGAAAAAAATAAATGTAGGAAGAAGAAGATTAGAATACTTACAAATTCTTGATATCAGTTCAAGCAAAAAGTCAATATACAATATCATTACAAATCAGAGATAACTATCCGTACAATAACATTGTGAAAATATTGCAAATCATTTTGCTATCATGATGAATTTCATGAAATTTGTAGAATTTCTCGATTTTATTTTTCTTTAAGGAAATTACAAAAATGTTGCAAAAAATTAATATTATTTAGTATTATTTTTCGTATCAAAGTTACTGGTTTCACATTCAACGTACGCTTTATACAAATTTAAACATTAATAAATATTCAATTACAGCAGAAAAAAGAAAATAATAATAACAGTTTTATAAATAAATAGTAGCAAATAAAATTTGTGATACAGTGAGATTTATTTTATATGTCAATTTACTTTATATTTGTTTCATTTGTAATATACAAGCATAACCTCAAAGCCAATATATTTTGCCTTATATAATTTTATAATATAACAATTATTACTGCACAAAATAGTAAAAAGAATGTTATGCCATAAATTAATCACATTATCGATTTCGTGTATATTACGAATTAGTAAATTGCATAACAATGTAATTTTTTCTTTCATAAAAAAGGATTTTTGGTGGTCAAGTTTCATGCATTTATCAGAGTCCATCAAATATTTAAATGTAAAAAAAAGTAACAAAAATAAAATTTCTCCTGCGCTTTCTAAATATTTAAAAAATATCGATCCACCATTTAGAGAAAAGATTATAGAAGATTACATGTCATTAAATCTAAGAAATATCAATCCATATTTAATAAACAATGAAATAAGCAATGAGTTTGCTAGATTCATCAAAGATGATTTGTTAGAAAATATGTCTTATGTAATTGAATTAAATCCTGGCTATGGTTTGTTAACAAGAAAGTTGTTAGAAGCTAATGTGCCACTTATACACCTTTACGAATATCATATTGAATTTTATCCTGAACTACAAAGGTTGAAAGAGATCTTTCCTAATCGTATTAGCATAAATGAAGTAGATCTTCAGAATATATCCAAAATGTTGAATTTAAAAGACACATCTCACATGTCTAATAAATCTAATAAATATATATGTGAATTGTTTACTAATGTACCAAAAAGAAACTGGGAAGAGGAAAGTTGTATGCAAATAATTGGAACAGTAACAAATTTTATATTTATGAAACATTTAATAATGAGTGTAATATTTCAAACAGGCTTTATGATGCATGGAAGAGCAATTTTTTATCTTGCATTATCACCAATTATATGGAATGTTAGTAGTATTGTACACTTTAAATTTCTAGGTCCAAAATCTTAAATTATTGTAATTGTTAATTTGTTGTATTTTTAGAAATTGACGAATCATGGTAAAAAAAGTTTAACCACATACACTATGTTTAAAATATTATTTAATTATACAGTGTTTGGTACATTAGATAGAAAAGGATTTCTGCCATGGCAAAAAATTAAAAAATCAAACATTACAGATCAACTGTTTTATGTTGTAAAGTTAGAACCAAAGCCTAATCTTTTATTATTGTTTGGTGAAAAGGAAGGTGTAATATATTTTTGGCATTTTGTTCGATATTATTTCTATAAGCCAACATTGAGGGTAATACCATCATTAGAGTGAGTATAATTATTTAAAAGTTGCATCTATTCAAGATTTTATATAAATTAATAATATATAAATATGTTTTTTAATGGAAATATTTCAGGAAAATGATACCAGGTTTTGGTATAAGATTAATAGAAAAAAATTATAATATATTTACCCAATTTGATGAGTTAAGTACGAATCAAATTATTGATATTTATATGGAACTTAAATCTTGGCCAGGATTTAAAGAAAGTTGTTTTGAATCGAGTGCTAATATAATCAGGAAAATATATGATCCATATGTTAATATGCAGGAGAATGAAACAAGTTATAAATGTGATTGAATATTTAATAAACATAAAATATAAAAATGATGTTTTGAGTTAATAATTTTTATATTTAAAGTTCGTCCACTCTATGTTTGTATTGGATATAAATGCGCTTGGATATAAAACTGTACATTGAAGAGTAGTGGGAGAAAAACTTGAATTATCACAAATGCTTAATGTTGATTGGCCATTGATTTCAATTCTCTTATTGTATTTAGCTATACTTGTCCTTGAAATCATTTCGGAATTACTTCAGATCACTCTCAAAAGAATATAATATATTACCAAGTGTCAATATCTTTAATTAATATTTTCCATAATTAAGGTATATTTTATTATGTTTACGTTAACATTAGAAAAAACTTCAATCTATTGCTTTTAAAAATATCAAATATTTATTTCCATTTTTTGCGAAAAAGATTTTATTTATGTCATAGGTAGAATAAAATGAAGTGGATAATTTTTAGTATCATATTAGTAACATGGAATTATATAATATTTTGTCAGGATATTGTATTTCCAAATGACGAAGAGACTTCTCATGTGAGCGGCAACGCGGCGGTAATTACATATACTCAAGAGCGACAAGGAAGAACATTAATGATATAATGTGACAAAAATGAGAAAATATTTTGTTTTAGATAACAGAACGTATTCCAGTTGCTGCACCAAATATATGTCCTAAAGACATGCTTCTTTATCCTGGAGATGGAAATAAAAGTACATGGGTATGTGATTGTAGACCCAGATTTCTATATTTTCCATTGAATAATAGTTGTTACGAAGCATACAGACAAGGACCATGTCCACCACAGAATTATGTTGTGCTGCCTAAGAATGAAGCTATACCAAAATGTGTAAAAAATCCTTGCTTGGAAGACGGCTTAGTGCAATATAATAATATATGTTATCCTTTAAGAACTACAGGTGGCCCTTGTGCTCCTGATGGTGTAATAGGAGTAAATGAAACTACATTTGATTTAGAATGTATATCAACACATATTGCACCATTCGTAATTATCGACCCACTTACAAAGAAGTGCCCTACAGGAAGTCGTAGGAATTCTCTTGGAATATGCAAAACAATCATAAATTTTTCATCTGACACTAATAAATTTTCCATCTTTTTCTGACACTAACAAATTTTTGCTTTTAATATAAAAAGGTATTTATTTGTTTGGCTTCTTTCATATAATAAATTTCACTATGTTATATTATAAGTGTGATATATTATGAGAATATATAACATTCATATTTACAAAATATAATTCTTAATATACTTAAATATACTTATTTAGATAATATGGAGCTCCTCGTTTATATACACTGACAAGGTATAACTGCATACTTACAAAGACTATCAATTATACATTATAAATATTTATGCAATATATTTTTATATTTTAATAATGACTGTTATGTAATTTATACTCTATTTACATAAATTGTATATACAATTAGACAGAAATATAATAAGAATAAGAATAAAATAAAATACTATATTTAACAGTTGTTAATATTACTCATGTCCAATGATATCAACTAAATTAAAGATGCTGAATCTGAGAACTAATATTAAAGTTATCAAAAATTGTAATTTCACTGTCTTGATATGTATAAAGATAAAAATCTAAGGCTAATTATAAATTATGTATTTTCAGCATAAAGCATATTCATTTCAATGTTATAACCTCTTACTTCTATAAATATAGCTTTTCAATTTTGTAATAGATCAAATAATTATCTTAAGTCACATTATATGATCATAATTACATCCAAAGTGTGCGTTCAGAAAACTGACTTCATTGGTTATGAATATTTCTTTGAAGAGTAAGAACAATAGGATAAAAAAAATACTACCATTTAAAGAAATACTCTCAACAATCAAATTTTCCATCGAATCAAATTTTTAAGCTGTCTCTTGTATCTCGTTACTTCTGGCAGCTTCTATTAATCTTTGTCTTTCTCTATACATTGAGACTTTCATGTTTTCTAACTGATGATATCGCAATAACTTTAATACTGCAAATACTGACAGACCAACCCAAACAGACAAACTAAACCAAGTACCAAATTGAACCGCGCCTAATTCAATGTGGAAACCAGAAGTATCTATATCATCAGCTTTATCAATATCATTTCCAGCTGCCAATTCGCAAGATGGAAATCTTTTGGTCATACATTGACACCAGGTCATAAAGCCAAGTGTGATAATAATTGCGGCGATTAAAGTGATTGTTGTAAGGAATATGGAACTGACAACGTCTATGAACGCAGACAGGAAGGAACTATCCTCTCCGCGGTACATGAGTATAGAAAGACGATAAATTTGTATTGCAGATGTTAGCAATAACATCAAGCCAACGAATATCGTGTAATTACAGTAAGCCTGCGAAGCCCAATTTACTATAAACTGACCGTTTGATTCTTGCCAAGTCCCTGTTGAGAACAACAAACAGTGTCCTCTGTAAATAAATATATATTAAACAATGCGTAACATATCTGTACACGTATACATTTTAACGCTATTTATTATAATGAGATTTGGCCACTTTTGAAATGCCAGCTACCTAAATTCGTCTTCGTGCAAACTCATCGGTATGATGATACAAAGTGACAAAATAAGAGCAACGACATATCCGGATATTTGACTAAGGAGCAAGATGTTGGTTAGTGCCATCTTTCAAGTGGCAAAGCAGAATTTCCGTTTTGCAAATATATCTGCAAAAACAAAAACTACGTTAATTTCCAGCGAATTATCAGACAATCTTAATGACAGATCGTCAATTATCACGCACCTGAACTTATTCGTAAACTATGTACGGAAATTACAGTGAATATAGATACGTTCAGGCTAGTAAACTTTTCAAAAATATTTAACGTCGATCCCTGTCGGTTCTTAAGAAATCTCGGTACTTTTAAACGATATTTGAGGAAGAAAAATTATTTTGTTTGGATACACTACTTGCGAGGTGTAAAGAAGAATGTAACAAATAATTTTAATTGTTAACGAAAAGGAACTTATAATTTTAATATATTATTAAGTATATTAATGTACTATTAAGTATATTAATATTTTTTTACCAATTGTACTTATAAATGGAACTTTATATAATAATAATTTTAATTTTAATTGTTAAACGAAAAGGAATGTATTTTGACGTGGCTTATAAAGAAATTTGAATTATTAAGAAAAAAAAAAAGAAAGAAACATAAGAAAAAGAGCACTGCCGATTGTTCATTTTTCGATCCTTTTTATTAGAACGTGTAAGTTACTACTTTGTAATATTTAATAATAATATTTTGAGGGATCCCAAAGATTGTATTTTCCAATGTACTCACACACGTGCATTTCAAACATTCTTTTTAATGCTAATATCCGTTCTAACATGGATTTTAAATATTTGTTCTAATGCATAAATCTGATGTTACAATAAAAGTGTAAACGATGTTGTAATAAAAATTGTAAGTATAAATTCGAATAATTCCATTCGAAATTAATAAAAAACAAAATATTACTCAAATACATAACAAAAGAGAAGAATTGTTTCGCGTCTCGCAAACGAACGTTCCAAAAAGCATAGGATATGACATTTCATTTTGCATGCGTGACTTTGCAGTAAAAATAAAGGCAACACTCGCATTGTTAAATATATTAAATATATATTGTCAAACAAAGCGAGATACGCACGAACATGTGTGTAAAATTTCTACGTAAAATCTAGGAACAAAAGTATCGAACGATCGAAATCTATCTGTGTGGGAGAGGCGTGAGAACATTGGGGGGCACATGTGAGCGTCGGTTCATCTCTCTCTATAGTCAGCTGATTTCAGTCAATGAAACACCAGTGTTTCGTTTCGTGCAGTGTTTGTCCGACAGTCAGAATTCTATGTGTGCGCGCGCGCGCGTATATGTATGCATGTGCAGACTCGTATCCAAAAAGGAAAATATTACGCAGCTTAGAGAACCCCGTTACATCCGAATCGTCGTATTATGTTAAGGATCATTGCGCCAGAGTGGACACGTGTTGGAAAGATGGAATTCACGTGGATAAATTGTTATCCGTACACCGTGCCCGAATAACAAGACCTAATAACAAAGCGCATGACGAGAGTCACTTTTGAAAATTCCATGTAGATTTCATAGATTAGCTTTGTCAAGCGTGGATAGGAAATATGTCTTGGTTGGGATGCATTCCCTGGTCGCAAGGGATCAAAAAGCGAGCCTGCAGGTATCTTCTACAACGATATCTGGGTCAATTTTTGGAGGAGAAATTAACATTGGATCAGCTCACTGTAGATCTGTACAATGGAACTGGTCGTGTAACCAATGTTAGCCTTGATGTGCAGGTACTCCCGTTTTCTTTGTTCTGAACCTTTGGCTGAGAGCAATAAAGATAACACAAAGCCATTCTTTTGTCTACGATAACCTTCTCAAAGTGAATAAAAATGTTTCTGTACCCGTGCGTTTTTGAATTTTTGTGCAACAGGCCCTCAATGAATTGGGAGAGCAGCAACAACTTCCGTTAGAGTTTGTCGATGGTTTCGTATCGGAAATATCTTTTAGCATACCGTGGTCAGCTCTACTTAGCGAGGCTAGTTACGTGGAGGTTACCAGTTTGAGATTGACCGTTCAGCCTAGACAAAGAACAAAAACTGGTACTTCGATGTTTGAGTCCATGTGGAGTTCTATGACATCGAGTATGCAACTTGCACAAGAATGCTTGCAAGAAGATGCAAAAAATGCTGGAAACTCACAGCCATTAGAGGGAGTTGAATTGTTTGCACAAACAATAGATTCAAGTAAGAGTTAATTTCTGAAGAGCAAGTAGTTATTCAGAAATGTATTGATAGCAAATATACTGTCAATATTGTTTATATATTTCAGTTTTATGCAGGGTGAAAGTAAGATTTATAAATACCATAATACGTTTGGAACACGTGCCACTAGACTCTTCTACAGGAGTTGCAATTGAAATGTGTATAAAAAATCTTGAATATTCAGATGAAGCAGGCTTAGATCCAAGCAGTACTTCATTAGATCCTAGTCAATCAACAAAAGGATATATTGTATCAGCTTTCACAACGAAAAGATTTTATTTAGAAGGTGTCACTTTCTACACGGATGAATTTCCATCTCGCGCAAGAACTTTTTCTAGGAGCATTATAACAACAAGCAGAGGGTCTACACCAGATTCTAAAGTAACATTTTTTGGCGTTAGATTTAGTAAGAGAAGTACATGACTGACAATTTTTTGAGGAAATTCTTCTTTATAGAATTCAGACGGCCACTTCTCTTCTGCACAAATATCTCCCACTCAAAATATGCAAACTCCTCTGGAAGGGAATATTATTAATAATTTAAACGAATCAAATCCTATAATGTTTGCCAAGTTAGCAGGCAGACAAGAAATAAGATTGAAATTAAAGCAAGGTGAAAGTGTTTCAGGACCAAAGGTAAAAGTTAATTGTTAATTTCAATTATTCAGTATGAAGAAAAATAACATCTTTAAATTTAAGTTTCGCATTTGGTACGAAATGAAAGATACGAACTGATTACTTCAGGTAGAATTAGAAGTGACACTGGGATCTTTTACTTCATTTTTAAGTCCACGGCAAGTGCATGTGTTATTGGAATTGGGTCACGGACTTGCATCCCCAGATTTAGAAGATATTAGCAATGTCGCGCCGAGAGCTTGCACAGAAAAGCCTATGGCTGGCAGCGACTTCAATCGCGTCGAGCGAGAACTTATTCATCAAATACATCCGACGCAAGGGTTACGTTCTATGGTATACAATAAAAAATGATAATAAAACGCAGCCTTTAAAAATTTGAAAAGCCAATAAAACATATTATTAAATTTGAAAAAATTTTTTAACAGGATTTAAGGCATGCACAGGGTTGGTCGACTGCATCTTTAGATGAGTCAGACAACAAAGATGAGTTTTTACCGATGCGATTACCCGGCTCTACATCAATGAGTGATTCGATCACAAGCAATAACATTAGCATGGATGGGAGTATATTATCTAGTAGTATTAGTTTAAAGAATTCAGCGATAAATTTACCAAAGCAACAGAAACACAGGCATAATGTGGATAATAGTCCATCCGCAGAAACGTCTCATTTTCATGTGAGGGTATCTTCCATAGCTATAGTTCTACTACACGAAGATATATTGGCCACCTGCGTAGAAGGAGGTGGTTTAACATGTTCCAGTATACATCAGATGAAAAATTCAGCGGACGAATTTTTCAAGCAATTAGGAATGTTCGGAGCTGGAGGATATGGAAACAAAGACTTTGATAAGGCATCGAAAATACTCTTGGATGCTTGCCATTTAAGTCATATTAGGCATGTAGAGTTAGTACGTGATGGAATATAATGTGAAAATTGGAATTAATTCTTTATTGCTTATTATTATAGATTACTCGCTGCGCCGCTAGTAATTGAAGGAAGAGAAAAAAATGTTTCATGGTTTTCTGTAGTATCTGGAACATTAACCTTAGCTAGTTTAGAAATTGTAGAATGTTTAATTGATTCGAATAATTCTGAAGCAAATACAACTCCACCAACTGAGTTTGTAGAATTGCTTGTTTTTCCGAAAGAGAGTTCAAATAATACTGGCTTCACCAATAAAACGGACTTTAAAATGAAGTTTAAATATGTAGAAGATGTTGAAAACGCAGGATATGCTCAATTAGTAAAATGTACAGATCCGTACACAACAGTTGAGTAAGTATACGTATATTCGAAGCGTATTGATTTAAGATTAATTTTATCATACTTTTCCTCTCAGTATTGAATTGGAACCATGCAAGAGTGAAGTGGACATAACTATCATAGATAGGATATGTGCTCTACTTAATCCACAACCTATTTGCGTTTGTAATCCTGTGTCTAATAATAAGAATATAGTAAGTTGTTAGCTTTTATTATTATAGTAATATATTCATCTATGCAGCTTTTATTATTCGTTTCTAATTTTTAGAATCAACAAACTTTATTTTATCAAGCCATAGAGAGTCCTATATTGTCTGACTTTTCTGCTATCATAAATATATCTT